GAAGCATCATATCCAGTGCAGCTCCACAGCTCTAAGTCTTTGAAAACATCAGACTAGCACACTGCCACCCCTCCCTCCTTGGGCCCCTCTTGCACAGAAATCCTGACCAGGAGCAAGTCCTTAAAGCCAGGTGACTTAACAAAGGAAGCTGCACTCTGAGGTTTGCTTGAGACCTGGCTGTAACATAAGCTTCTCTTAAGACATCACAGATCAGTCATCAAGCGAGAACTTGCTCCTAAGGGGTGGGACAAGTCTGGGCTAACACACCAATCCCTCAAAGGCAGAGAGGGCAGAACCTGCCTGTTCCACCGGCTCCACACATACTGTAAACAAAAATTATCCAGGAAATTGAAGGCCTTGGCTCCAGAGCTCTTTCCAGTACAGTAAGGTGGGAAGGCCCCAGGAACCAACCCAGCCTGGTGCTATTACAGGGCCAGGCAGCAGGACCATGTTCAAGCTGAGGTCAAACAGCACTGTGTAAATCCAGTTGCGATACAACGTACAGGCTAGGTAGGATAAAATAGTTACCAGCTTCTCATCTAGCTTGTTGGGAGGGAGCAGTAATAATTTTTAAGCATCTACGGTCTCCCTCAACCTCTGGGCTCTCCCTGGCTCACTCCTTTGTCAGAGCATTTGGCTGCCAGACTCCACACTTCACTACCAAGTCGTTTTCCTACAAATAGGCAGTGACTCTTCTGTTTTAAAACACAAATAAATTAATTCCCCATTACTTGCCCAAACCAGCTGTACCTCGTGGCTGCTCCCAGACCAGACCTGGCTGCCACTGAAGCATAATAAGCACTTACCAGTTTTCCCTGGCCCCAGAGCCATACCTGAGAGCGCTTCCACTTGGCCATGTCAGAAACCATGTTTATCTCCTTTTTGGGGATCATGAAGCTCTGCTGTAGGGGAGGAGTCACCTCCTCAGAGGCGCCTGGGAGATGCAAAAAAGAGGTAAAATAGAGGCAGTGGAAAAGAAGAAATCCTCTATCTTCCTTTCTTAGAAATCAACATTCATTTCTCAGGAGACAGAAAGAAAACAAATCCATCCCAGCTTGCGCCATTATCTCACCAAGTCCTCCTCACCAAACAATATCCTCCTGATCCCCAGATAATATACTCCCAAGGACACTGCAAGGCTTCAGAAAGTGGCATTATGTTTGTTTTCACCACTAAAGATGCATTTCCCATCCAGACAGAGGCTGGTGCCGGAGATAACAAAGACAACATCCAGCTAGTTTAATTATTTCTGTCTAGCGAAGACAAGCCTTAGGTCGTGCTGAAGCACTGAGCTCTCCTAACAAACTAAGCGTGCATTGTTTTTAGGGTGTTAAGCCTGAACTGCATTCCACTAAAAAGGACAACTCCTGCAAAGACAAAGCTGGAGCAATTCAACAGATGGCAGTCCAGAGCCACTGCCCCTGGTCCAGGGAGCACAGGGGCTCGGAGTATGCCAGTATGCCGGGACACAGCCTCTTCCAGGTAGAAGCTATGAAGATCATTTAATTTTAAAGCTCTCTCAGAGCTCAGGATGTAATATTCAATGCAAATGTAAGTTGTTAACGCATTAGAGGGGCTCTTTTCCCTGGCATCTGAACCAAGGACCCAAACCTGCTGCAACCCCTACCCCACGCTCTCCAGAGCTCTGCTCTCAGCCGGCAGTCCCGCAATGGGACACAGCAGAGCCAGAAATGCATCACGAGGATAGAGGTAATTTGCATTATGCTCCTATAAGCACAACTTTTAATAGCAAGAGGCAGTGCAGCAGACCACTGTTAAGGAAACTGGGTGCTAATGTGAATTTGTGAATTCTGTTAGAGTCACCCAGTTCATCTTTTTAATCCTAGAAAATCTGAAGGCATTTGTTCAGCACCAGCCACCCTGGCAACACTTCAGCGACTGCTCTCCTCACTACAGCAAGTTCAGGCACTGTCTCCCTAACATACACCACCAAACACCAATTCCTTAAAAATATTATTAGCTGCATTTACAAAGAAAATACTACCCAGAAGCATCAGCAGTCTTTTCTGCAGCAGAGCAGTGCTATCTAGCAGGCAGATCAGGGAAAAAGGAATCCAGAGTCCCAGGAAACACAGAGTCTGCTATAGACTTGTCACATAACCTTAGAAAGTCATTTAACTTCTCTGCCTTTCAAGTTCCCCATCTACAGAACAAATGCAGTCTCATCACCTGCCTAGGGTGTTACCGCGTTTGGTTCGTTCTGGCACATAAGTTACAGTAAAACTTCCAGGTACAAGCATGAGAGGAACTACACGCAAAGAATTTAAATGAAAGACACATGTGCCTCTCTTCTGAAAATTCAGCACACAACTCACAGTGACTAGCACTGTAATGATGGAGCTCTTATTTTAAAAGAGCTTATAACATGAAGAGAATGAAAAACTCCAGAGCAGTGGTGTAAAAAGGCAAACACTGACTTGTCCATTAATACAGATGACACATAAAGACCAGAGATGCGGCCAGGGCAGTGTCCTGGACCAGGAGAACGCAGGTGTTAGCCCAACCTCTGTCTCATCATAGAACATTTTTCTTCTCTTTGCATTTGTTTCTCAATCATCACTTCTTCTGACACATACTTTGTGTGTTTCCGCTTGGGGAGGAGACCACAGATACCATAGATAGGAAGGAAACACACTGAGGACTGCAGGGGTTACAATATTATATATAAAAAAAAAACCCTAAGCAAAAGTCCAAAACCGATGGTGTGATGGAGACAGGAGCAGAAAGGGTTAGCTTTATGATGAGAGGTAACTTGGCCAAAGGCAGAGCTTCCAGTCTTA